TTCTACAAATTATTCAACTTAATTTAAAAAAAATCATATATTTATATATATGTACATTTTTTTTTATATATTTTTTATATAAAATACTTTTTTATCTTATATTCTTTACTTTCAGTATATTGAAATCTGAATTTTATTTCAATAATTTCAGTTTCAAAATATCAAAGAAGAATATAGAGATATAAAAATTTTTCTCTATTCTCTTATAAACTATTGTAAATTAAAATAATGGCCAAAATTAAAAATGTATAATTTATTTAAAAACTATAATTTTAAATATTTTTTTTAAAAACATTATATAAAAAATAACTATTTTAAACTAGAAAATTTCGTAACAAAAATTTTAATTATATAAAAACTGACTAAAATAATATAAAATATTTTTATGTATAATAAAATAAAAATAAATTAAAAGTTAAATATCATTATAATACTCATAGATCTAATTATTTAATTTTAGCCATTAATAAATCAAAATTTTATATGGATACAATATTTAAATTGGACATTACAAATTAATTGTAAACTAAAACAATACAATTCTTTACAATACAGTCTATTGACAAAAATTGTATTCATTGAATATAAAAAAAATATTAATAATCAATATATTTACAATGTATCGTTCACAAATATGCATTATACATATCCAAAAAATAGTTTTTGGTTTTTGTAAAATTCAAGTCAACTTATATTAAATTTAATGAAAACTAAATTTAATAACATTTAAACCCAATATAATTATACGTTTATAGAAATATATATATTAAATAAAATTAATTTTAAAATTTAAAAATCTAGTATTTTTTAAACTTATATCATATTATTCTGATTATATTCATTGCCTAAGATACTTAAAACAATTCGATATAAATGAATTGCGAATATAAAATATAAAAACTTTGCACTTTGGAACAACTTTAAATATAAAAAAATGTATATATTTTTGTATATATTTCATTATTTTTTTTTATGGTTCATAAGAACCTAATTTTTTTAATACACTAAGACCTTTTTCTTCATATTCTTCTCTTGTTATCCATACTGATTCACGATCCTTTGTAATTTCTGCTAATACAGCACCACCCATGAAGACCATATCTTTGCGTCGCGGAGAATCTTCAATTTTTATTTTAAATTTCTAAGAAAACATTAGAAATATATTATTAAGAAAAAATTAAGCAAAGAAAATATAAAATATTATATAATTACATTTAATTTTGAAGTATCATTCTTTAATACTCTTTGAAGATAAAGCTGCTTAATTTCTCTTTCAAGTCTAGATGGAAGTCCAGGATACATTGTACTACCACCACTTAAAACAATATGTTTATATAATTCACTTCTTATATCAATATCAGCTGCTTGAATAGTACTGAATACCAATTCAGCAATTCCTTGAGCCTCAACATTTATCAAGTGAGGTTGAAACAAAGCTTCTGGTGCAGCAAATCTCTCTCCACCTACTTTTATTACTCTTCCATCAGGAAGCTAAAAAAGTTTATGAGTTATTATCACAATTATTATTTTTTTATATTTCATGTTAAATAAATTCTACTTACAGTATATGATTCAACTAAAACAGTTGTTTCAAGAGCTAATTTTTCTTCAGTTTCGATATTATAACCAATATAACATAATTTTTCTTTTAACATTCTAACTGTTTCAAAATCAGCAGAATGATTAAATGCATAACCACGTAACAAAAGAAGTTTTATTAAATACATTGTAATATCTCGACCAGCTATATCTAACCGTCGAGTAAGATGAGGTAAAGCATATTCTTCAAATACAGGACAAATATGAGTGACTCCGTCACCAGAATCTACTACAACACCACTGATTAATCCTTGAGCATATAATGTAAGTACTGCTTGAATTGCAATATATGTACCAGCAAAACCATATTTTTCAAACATTACCTAAAGAAGTTCAATTATAATTAGAAAGATTAAAAATAATAAAATTAAGATAATTTTTAATTATAACTTTATTTTACCTCAATCATCTTTTCACGATTTGTAATAGGATTCATTGGTGGTTCAGTCAATAAAATTTTACATTCCCTAGGATTAATATTCATCTTCTCTTTACCAAATGTGTAATCCCATACATGACACATATCTTCCCAATTTCTATTAATTATTTCAATAAATATTTTATAATATACATAGATTAAATATATTCATATACATACCTAACAATTCCATTTTGCATTGGATAACTAATTTCTAGCATGGAACGAAGTTTACTTGCTTCATCTCCAACCATTAAATCCTTATGATGAAACAATAAAAGACATATAATTATATATATTGTTATCATATAAAATATTCATATTAATAGAAATTGTTAATATTTCAATAATATAACACATTTTAATTTTTGATGAAATAATTGAGAATTGAATTAAGTATAAAATTTCTAAATTATAATTATCAAAAATTTATTTAACATTATTTCAATTTTTTAATATTCTCATTATCATACTAATATTAAATAAATTAATACTAAATAAATTATTATATATTAACATATATGAATAAAAATAAAACAAAATAAAACATTAAAAGAATCTTATTTAGATATATATTGAATAAATATGAAAATTATTTATTGCTTTAAAATAATTCTTTAATAAATGCTAATATAATATTGATAAATGTAAATATTAATATTGAAAAATGCAAACTTACAGGCATGTTAAGCACATCCTATGAGAGCAAATGTGAAAGCACAAATATATTAAATAATATTAAATATATATATATATATATATATATATATATATAATTACACACAT